TCAAAAATAAGCAGACATTATAAGAGATTAATACAATAGAATTTAGAGACTCAAATGTTTTAATTGTGATGAATATATTTAAGAAATTAACAAAAAGGAAAAATTCAGCTATGAACTTGAAACTACTGAAAGGATCAAATAGAAATTCTAGAACTGAAAACTACAACAAATGAAATTAATAATATTGGATTTAACAGCATGTTATCCACAAATGAAGAGAAAATTAGTTAACATGAAGATAGTAAGAAAAAAATAGCCAGAATGACATTCAAGGACACAAAAGATGTAAAATAAAGATTATTTATCAAAATTAACTATATAGTGGGGTATAAAGAAAATCTCAACAAATTTCAAAAGATCAAAATCATTCAAAATGTGTTCTTTGACCATAGGCTAAGGAGAAAACAGCAACAAAAAGATATTAGGAAATCCAAATAGCTGAAGTTAAGAATCAAGATTAGACAACATATGATTTTACTTACATATGGGATCTAAAAAACAAAGTGAATGAATAAACAAAAAGCAGAAACAGACCTATAAATAGAACAAACTGATGGTTCCCAGAAGGGAGGGCGTTGGGGGTGGGCAAAATGGGTGAAGGGGATTGGGAGATACAGTCTTCCAGTTATGGAATAAATCATCACAGGGATGAAAGGTACAGCATAGGGAATATAGTCAATGATATGTAATAGCATTGTCTGGTGAAAGATAATAGCTACAGTTGTAGTGACCAAGCATAGCATAACATATAGAGATACTGAATCATTATGTTTTACACCTGAAACTAATGTAACATTATGTGTCAACTATACTTTAATTTAAAAAAAAAGATATTAGGACATTAAAATTGCAGACTTCCCAAAATAGAAAAATATGAAAATTAAAATTTTGAAATAGTTTGATTGGATTAATATAAATATACAATAAAAATTTTTTTTAGGATATGGCTAAGTGCAGTTCCTGAAAGAAATTTATACTTTAAATACACATAAGAATGGAAGAAAGCCCCCAAATTAATTACCTAAGTATCTTAAGAATTTAGAAAAGAAACAACATATTAAACTCAAAGAAAATGAAGAAATAATGAAGAGCAAAAATTGTTGAAATAAAAAACAAACACATAGTCATGTAACTACCAACATTAAGATATAAAATATGTTTATAATGCCAGAAGTTTCTCCACACTCCTTTATAGTCAGTCCCTCTTCACACAAGCCACTGGCAACTACTGATATATTTTCTCTTTCTGTCTTTTCAACAGTGTATTGGAATCATGGTATGTAGGCTTTGGAGCCCAGCTTCTTTCATTCAGCATAACTCATTTGGTACTCCTCTGCATTGTTACATGTATTATATTTTATTCCTTTTTATTGCTTAGTAAATTCCATTCTATGAATCTATCACTGCTGATTTATCCTTTCGTCAGTTGAAGGACATTGATGTTTGCAGTTTTTGGTGATTAAGAATTAAGCAACATGTACAGTGTTTGCTATAAATATAGTTTCATTTCTCTTAGATAAATACTTAGAGAGGGACTGCTGGTTAAATGTATATTTAACTTTATAAGAAATTGCCAAATTGCTTTCCAATCTGAATTGAACATTTTGTTTTCTCAGCCAAAATACATCAGTGTTCCAGCTTCTCTGCAACCATGCTAGCCCATGGTATTGTCAGATTTTGTTTTGTTATGTTTCATTTTAACTTAAAAACATATAGTATCACATTATAGTTTTACTTTGAAAGTACCTAATGGTAATGTTGAACACATTTTCATGTTCTTGGTTTTCATCTAATTATCTTCCTTTCTGAAGTGTCATTCAAATCCTTTGCCCATTTTTTTATTAGGTAATTTTTTTATTATTGAGATTGGAGCATAATTTATATATTTTGGATAAAATTCCTTTATCAGATATGTGTTTTGCAAACTGTTTTCTCCTATACTGTTGCTTGTATTTTCATTTTCTCAACAGTACTTTTTGAAGAACAGACTTTAATTTTCATAGTCTAATTTATCAATATTTTATGATTTGCACTTTTTGCATCAAATCTAAGTAACCATTGCCTAATACAAAGTCATAAAGATTTTCTACTATATTTTGTTTTAGAAGTTTTATAGTTTAAGGTTTTATATTTAGGTATGTGATCCATTTTGAGTTAATTTTTTATATGTTGTAGAGTATGGGTCGAGCTCTATTTTTTTTGCATATGGACATCTAGGACAACTTGTTGAAGACTACCATTTCTCCACTGAATCACTGGAACATCTTACTGAAAAATAATTAACCTTGTATGTGAAGATGAATTGTCTTAATTACTATATTTCTTAGTAAGCTATGAAGACAGGTGATGTAAATGCTCCAGCTTTTTTTAACATTACTTTTTGTTCTTCCTGGTCTTTTGCCTTACCATGTAAATTTTAGAATCGCTTTGTCAGTTTCCAAAAAAAAGTCCTGCTGGATTCTCATTGAGATTCATTGAATCTATAAATCAATTTGGGACAATTTGACATTCTAACAATATTGAATATATCCATCCACAAGTACAATATATTTCTCCATTTATTTAGGTTTTATTTGGTGTCTCTCCTCAACACTCTGTAGTTTTCTTCATATAAATCTTGTACATATTTTCTTAGATTTATACCTAAGTATTTCATAACTTTTGGTGATATGATGAATGATACTGTTATTTAACTTTCAATCTCCAATGGTTCATTGCTAGTGTATAGAAATACGATGATTTGGATATTGACTTTATTCCATGATGCTGCTGGACCAAGTTAGTGGCTTTTTCTCTAGTGTTTTTTTGGGGGGGGCGGGGAGGACTTCTCTGCATAGATAATCATGTCTGAAAATAGAATTTTATTTCTTCCTTTGCTATCTATATGCCCCCTTTCTTTTTTTTTTTTTTTTAAGATTTTATTTATTTGAGAAAGAGCAAGCACAAGCAGTGGGGAAGGGCAGGCGGAGTGGGAGAAGCAGACTCCCTGCTGAGCAGGGAGCCAGACATGGGACTCAATCCCAGAACCCTGAGATCATGACCTGAGCCGAAGGCAGACGCCCAATCAACTGAGCCACCCAGGCGCCTCTATATGCCCCTTTCCTTATTTCTTTTTCTTGTCTTTTTTCAATCTTTAGGAATGCCAGTATAATGTTTAATAAGAGTAGCAATGTAAATATCACTGCTTTGATTTCAATCTTAGTATGAGACCATTAAGTATAATGTTTGTTGTAGGTTTTTGTACATTCTCTTTATAAGGTTGAGTTCCCTCTAATTCCTAATTTTCAGAATTTTGTTTGTTTATCATGAATGAATGTTAAGCTTTGTCACATATTTTTTCTATGTCTATTGAGATGATAAGTTTTTCTATATAGTCTGTTAATACAATAAATTACATTGATTCATTTTTGAATGTTGAACCAACATTGCATTTTTAGGATAAACCTCTCTTGATCATGATGTATTATCTTTTTTATATATTGCAGGATCAAATTTGCCATTTTTTACCAAGGAATTTTGCAACTATTCTTATGAGAGATATTGTTCCTTAGATTTCTTTTTGTATAATGTGCTTTTTTTTTAATATCAGAGCATTATAAAGTGAATTAATATGTTCTTCATTCTTGATTCAAAAAATTAAAATAATCAATTTCCTTCTTTTATGAGCTTAAAGCACTCTCATTATGTTCTATCACTTACAATTTTGTTGCTACATAAATATTACATAAAAAATAATATGCTACAAATTGTGTGATGTTACTGGCTATCCATAAGTGAAAACTTTTGAAATAAATTACTTGCCTATGCTTATTTTTATATCCATAGAATAAAATTTAATGTTGAAAACTAATTTGCATATATTCAGGTTATATTAATTTTTTCTATCATAGAAAGTGTTCTGAGTTTAAATACTTGATAAATGTACGGATTCTGCATGTAAGTTTTAAAATACCAATTAACATTATTAGACAAATTGATAGATGGCAGTTCATAAGGGATATCTGATGAAACACACCTGCTTTTGGTGGAAAGTTGGGCTAGAATAGTTTTAGGTAGTGTCAGTGTTTTGTTTTTCTTATTTGAGGTCATATTGAGGTCATATTAACTTAGGTAACCCTTTCTATCCCATTCAGGATTGGTATTACTCTTTCTTGATTTAAACTCAAAAATATAAATGAATGTGAGTGCTGTTTTTATTCCTTAACATATATTTTTTTGTTTCTTAGTATGTATTATTTTTTGTATGTATGTATAAAATATTTGTTAGAACAGAAAATACTTTCAGTCTTAACATATTGACATGTGGTGTTTTCAGTATAATGAAAAGACTTAGTCATCGTATTCATTGGGCTTATATTATTACTAGGAGCCTTATCATAAGATTGAAAACACATATGAATAGAATGTAGCAATAGGAATCTTAATCCTAAAGTTTATTTGATCTAAAACACAGACGTGCTTGGGAATTCTGAAGTCTTGATGAATGGGTCACCAGTGGTCCATTTTACCAGAGAAGTGAGGAGTCTTTCTGAAATAATTTATTTTAAGCAAATAAAGAATGGAAGCACTCAAGCATGCTTTAAGGAAAATGGCTAACAGATGAATGTAAGGTGTTGTTTTGGGTATTACGTGGTGTCTGGTACTCGGAGTCATATGCCCTATCTTCAAAATTGAGCTATATGAAAATAGAGTGATAAAACTAAAAGGGCTCTTTAGAACAAACAAACACATAGCATGAGACATCCATCAGGAACTCGAGGCACCACTGCTTTGTACTAATGTTACAGAGTCTGTTTTCCCAGCACCAAATAATTGTGTTTATTTCCACACTCTGGTATGTAGCTTTGCCCCTACCTGTGAAAGCTTATAAAGGAAAATCTCATAAATAAAAGTATTTATGAACTATATAACAATTACTGTGGCGTATATGTCAAGTGTGGTATTTCATTTTTTAGACAGATTTCTCTTTTTGATGTACTCAAATATGTGTTTGGTTTTAGGTTTCCTCAAGAACTGAACATGGGAAAAATAAGTGCTGAAATTATGTGGACCCTTTTTGCTCAAGATATGAAATATGCACTAGAAGGTAATTACAAATATTTATACTTCTTAGGACACATGTTTTAGGCAAATTGTGATTTTGTGTTCTTGACTTTAAGTGTAAAAATTGATGCATTAAAGTGTTGTTGTGATTAGTTCTAAAACTTATTTCCACATTGTAGGAAAATAAAGGTTTCCAAGTCTTTTAAAAGTCCTCAAAAACATACATTTTAATCAAGTCATCTAAGCTGCAGGATCATAATAAGTATTTCACTCATAGGCTAATGCTCAGATGCAGGGATACCTTATGGCAGTTCACTTACCAAAGCAGACCATATTGAAGGCATGAATAGGTAGAATTTGTCTAGACAGACTTGAAAATTGTATCCATGGTTATAAAAGTTAAAATCTGACCAAAGTTTTCAAAAAGACAGTGGCAGGGCTCTTTGCCAGAAACACTGTTCTCCATAAGTCCAAATCTTACAAGGGAAATAGAGCTCTTTAAAATAGAACTCTAGGGACACTTGGGTGGCTCAATAGGTTAACCTTCTGACTCTTGGTTTTGGCCGGGGTCATGATCTCAGGGCCATAAGATCCAGCCCCTAATCTAGTGAGGTAAACTCTGCACTCAGCATGGGTCTGCTTGGGATTCTTTTCCCCTTCCTCTCCCTGCCTCTCTGTTCCTCTCCCTATATCTCTCTCTATATATATCATAATCAATCAATCAATCAATCTTAAAAAGAAAAACCAAACCAAACCTCTAAGTTAAAAATTCTGTCAATATCCTTTGAGCCATCACACAATGCTTAGAGTTAAAAAACCAGAAACCAGTGTAGGTTTCCTGTCCTCTAGTAACTTATAGTCTAGAAGAAAATTTTCTTTGCGTTCAGCAATATATTTTGAGCCCGTAGATGCTAAATGTCTATCACTATACTCAGTGTGGGGGATAGAGCAGTGAACATGACAACCATGGTCCCTGTCCTCAACAAAATTATGGAGGGTAGCCACATGAGGTGATTAAGGTTAATGATGATAGAATGTCTGGAGGAAAAGCATCTAAATCAGATTTGGGAAAGGGAATAAGGCAGACTTTCTAGAGGAACTTCCTCTGAGGAAGTGTTATCTGACAAAGACCTGAGGGATAAGTAGGAGTTAGTTCTGGGGAGAGATGAGCAAGAAGCATCTCTGTCTTGTCCTGGCAGAGGACAGAACATTGGCAATGAGGGTGAGCACAATGTACATTGGAGAAAAGCACACTCAGCAGGTCCTATGAGCAAGAGGTAGCAAGAAGAGAGGCTGGAGACATTGGCAGGGACCAGCATGCAGGAGCTGGTGGGCCATGGTGAGGTACATGTCTTATTCAGATTTGCAACTTAGAAAAAGCATTTGACTGTAACATGAAAATTAGATTAATAGGGTAGGACTGGTTCAGAGTTCATGCTCATTGTATCACTGGGTTTTTGTTTGTTTTGTTTTCTGGCATTGCTAAAATGTAAACATGATGCTGGGGGACACAGAGGGAACATACAGACATTTTCATTATTTGAAAGAGGCACACAGTAGATTTTAATATCTGGTTTTCTGGTAAAGTCTGGGTCTCCCACCCACAAATAAAGAGGTTTTCTGTCTTTAAACATTAAACCAGACTGTTGGGAGGTGCAAATTCCTCATTTTGCAATGAGATATTTGTTCTCCATTGTATCAGCCAGCCCTGTTCTCTCTACCTCTACCTGTGCCTCCCACCAACCACATCCTTTCATACCACTCTGCTACAGTTGTCTCTCTGAAATATAGGAGTCTCCTTAAGCAAGATGAGAAGCACCAATACATTAGGCCAATAATTTTCTTCAGCTAGCATGTGCCCCTCTTAGTCCTACCCCTTATCTTCCCCCACCCGCCTCAAATGTCTCTCAGGCATCTTGAACTTTATAAGATCAACAAAGAATTCCTGATCTCCCCTATCAAAACCTCCTTCTTCCTCCTGCACATATTGCAATATTGGCATGACCATTCATCCAGTTACTCAAGTCAGACACATAGCGTTTTTGTGGATTCATTTCTTTTCCTCAGCACATTCTAAGTTCTTTGAGCTATTCCAGTGCTGCTCTATTCCCTTGACTTCTCTTCCCACCAGTCTTCATAGGCAGCCACATGGGGCTCAGTTTAATGTCATCCTCTCAGGATCCAAAGTCACTGCCAGGAATAACCTTATTTTAATTGGCTGTGTAGCACCTAATTGCTATCTTTTATTTGTGTGTTTATGCCTGTGCATTTGATTGCTTCTTAACAGTCTGTCTTCCTCACCACAATGTAAGGTTTTTGCCTAGAATGATGCCTACAAAATAGAAGCTACTTAGTAACTACTTGTTGAATAAATCTTCTTGGAACATTCCAAGAGGTCAGCACCTTTGTGCATCGTCATTATCACCTGTAATGTGAAAGGTTCACATTAGATCAGAGGGTTGGGCCACGGGCAGGGAGGCTCCTGCCCATGTTTTGGAAGAATCTGATTATTTAGAACTATCCCAAGGCAGCGCTGTCTGCCGGTACACATTTTGTTTAGGTCAGTCCTCTCTTTGCTTATGTAGTAACATTTGTGTAACTATTGGATGTTTTATGTTACATTTACTTTTAAAAATAAGTAGTTATTTTAGAGAACTAAGCACACTATTTCTGTTAAGGAATTTAATCTCAAAAATTTAATATTTATTGGAAACAGCAATGAAGATAGGAATGCTACAAGTGTCTGTAACTTTGCTTAGATGTTTACTGATTATAGAGTAATAATTTTGTATAAGAAGGGTATCCCAAAATGCTGAGATTGTATCATCAAAAATCAGGTCTAAGATCAAGAGTAAATAATTTTGCAGTTATCTGAGCTTTTTTTGAGATAAGACTCTCCTTTTTCAAAAGAATTTTTTATTTGACTTTTTAAAATAGTTTTAGTGAGAGGTATTTCACATACCATACAATTCAACCAACTTAAAGTGTACGATTCAGTAGTTATTACGTTTGCACATTCACACACATTTTCAAGAAGGCATGAGAAATATATTGAGGGAGTGACTTGGATTGCAGTTTATGATGCATGCATCTTCTTCATCCACCAGAAGAGAAGACTTTTGAGTGCAAAGATTGTTTTTTCCATCTTTGTATTTATTGAACCGTAATAGAAACTCACCATGTGTTTGTTTACTTGAAGTGAATTGCAAATGGGACAATCCTATGCAAAGAATCTTGGAGACAAGGACAGAATACCTACCATGTTCAAACTAAACATCCATGGTTATTCCAAGTCAGGAGGCAGCAAGAGATCTGAGTCTGGGAAACCCAACTTCAGAAAGCTTTATCACGCATGGGCTGTGGAACCTTGGGCAATTAATGCTTCTTCAAACCTTGATTTTCTTTTCTATAAAAAAGAAGGCCATAACTGAACTGATGAATCATTGAACATTATATTAAAAACCATACTATACCTTGGCTCATCAAATTTAAATTAAAAAAAAAAAGAAGGCCATAGAGAGTCCCCAGCTTGGTGTGAGGATTGCATGACATGTTAAATGCACTTTGTAAACTGTAAAGCACTATGCTAATGGGACGGGACTATGATTATTTTTATATAAGCAGGGAAAGATCTGTCAAAGTCTCAAAGCAGTCTCCTTCAGGGGTCATTCAAGGTTTAAACCCTTAGGAGAGTGTTCACAAATCCATGTGAATCTGTTCACTTTCTCTCCCTTCTTCCTTTTCACTATTTCAAACTAATAGGTGGTTTCAAGAAATATACTGCACCCTTTTTTAAAATGTGGCATGAATAATAATTACTAGAGAAAATGAGGACTAAGAGTACCTCACAGAGTAGAGGGCATATACTTAAAAACATTCAGCTGGCAGGCTCTTGTTCACATTGATAGTAATGTTCTGACTCTCCCTATTTGCCTTCTAGAATGTTGTTAAAATTGACTATGGAGTAGTGCTTCGGATCGTTGACCTAGAAAGACTCTGTGTTGTTACATAATTTGGGCTCCATAGTTCATCTTGTGACTAAAGCAGCTGAGTCCAACTTGTGAGCAACCTGTGATAAAGTCAGGTCGACAGAGAGGAGCCAGCTAGAACTTCCAGACTTGTAGCTGTTGGCAGCTTTTTGCTTTACTTCATGAACTCATCAACTCTGTAAAAGAAATAATCTAATTTAAAATGAAACAACTTTTCCCCAGTTTTAGTCAATCTGTGTGAGCCAACTTGTTTTTTAACATTTGACATTGACAGCCTTGCAAGTGTGATAGACAGTAATTCATTTGATCACTGTGGTGATAACTTATTGAATAAAACCAGGACAAATTATTTTACCAATTAAAAAAAAAGATGTACTTTCTGTGCAAAAGGAAGCACAGGAAGGGGGGGAAATTGTTAAACAAAATTGGTTTTATGGAATTTTTTCTAAATATTTTAAAAACTGTTGTAGTCTTTACCCTGGCAGGTACAAATGTAGGTTTTGTAATAATTTAGACCTAGGTCTGAGTTCAGGCTCTGCTACTTTCCATTAACTTCTTAGCTCTGATTTTGTATAATTTATTAAACTCAGCAAGCCTTATTTTCCACATTTGTAAACAAGGGATAAAAATACCTACCCTATAAATTATTGTAAGGAGAAATAATAAGACAGAGATGGGGTGAGGGGGAATGGTTCCCTAGCACATAATAAATACTCAACAAATACTAGCCATTATGACAACCTTGAGGATTACAATTTAGTAAACAGAAGTTGGAAATGATTTATAATACCACTAAAATACCCAGATGCCTATAAGTTACTGAAATGTTTAATTGGTAATTCCAATTGACTGCAGACATTGTGTTTGTTATCTTGATATCCACAGAATTTGGTTGCCTGCCAATTGTTAAATCAGGACAGTCCTGTTCAGGGCACTGATTGTGTAACATATGTCTTTGTCTTCAAAGTCTTTATTAAGAGCAAACCCTGCTAGGCCCCAAGATAGCAGCCAGATGGTAGATGGGGTCCACAAGGATTCAGGTGGTTTCTAATTA